TAATATATAGTGCAATTTGCGTATTGAATAATATTCAAAGGATTTCGATATCTATTTTTTCCTTTTTCTACTTTTCAATTTTTTTTAAAGAGACTCATATTGTTTGTAACTGGCGTCAGATGCTTTTGGATACAATTCTGGATGACGTGACCTGACAAATTTTCCTGGAGGACAGGCAGCCCACGGTTTAACTAGACATTCCGGTTGCCCTTGACATTGCGACAAGGGACAATGATCTTGGAGGCCGTCTCTATGCAAGCACCAACATCTGGAATATAGTATGCCTCCGCGCATTTCCGGGAAAATCACACGACGTATCTTCTGCGTTAATTCGACAAATATTGACAATGGGGGAAAAAATTATTTTATATAACATAGCGACAATAAATCGACGATGTAGTTTGGAAAAATAATAACGTAGATTTTGGACACGCGCTACTTAGAATGAGATACTCATATTCCCGCTTGCAAAATTACATTCTCGCTTGTTACATTACATTCGCGTTACTGACCTCGCGTCGATCGGGTTTTCTTTCATCTTTATCCGGAATATCTGTCGAAGAGTCTCTTACGCAAGCGACACTCCCCGTATCAGGTGCGAGCTTTCGTTTCGATCTCTTTTTTTCAGTACGAATTTTGTCCGGTGCAGCTTGTATTGTTATATGTATAATCGTAGGTGTTATTTTTTGCTCCGTTTTTTCTTTTTGCCCCTTTGGTATCTGCGCATCTTGGCGACTGGAAAATTCCACAGGATTCAAAGGTTTGACGCGAGAGTTTTTGACTTGTGAAAAAAAATGTGATACGACTGATATCTTCTATTATAAACGTATTGCCGTACAATTAATGAAAATATTTTTCTTCGACGGTTTAACAAAGGATTTCTTAGTTCGAGCGTGGATAGTAAATATAATATTAAACTAACTATTTCGATGTGGTCACTGCAGATTTTACTCCGCGAACGTCTGGCTTGCCAGTTAAAGTTCTCGTTGCAGACATTACGTCAATCCAGTATGTCGGTAGATAAATTTATAGTTGTGTATACATGGAGAAATTTTGATAAGAGCCAAAATTTTGAGAGACGTAAAACTAACGTGCTTACAATTTTGATAATTGCCAATTTACATTTTGAGTTGTGTTCTTTGTCTTTTTTTCATTATCGATAATTGCACGCCGCTAATTTCATATTGGTGGGATTGATAGAGTGTCGCCCAGACAATTCTTGCGCGCAAGAACTTTGCATGCAAACTTGTACGAGATTTGCCCAAGTTTCGCCCGTGAGATGTGTTTAGTCTGTGCTTCTGCACGCAAGTGGTTGGGCTCATGTATTAACGTTCAATTTTGCGCACAAATATCTAACGACTCGTGCACCAAAATGGCTCGACAACGCAAGCAAAAACCTGTCCCTTTATAAAGTGATATTTTTAATTTCTCTTCGTTTTTTTTTTAATACAAAGTCGTCAAATCCCGGCTTTGCTTTTACGCGTGCTTCAGTCGCGCGGAAGAATTTTGCAATTTTATAAAGCCAAATTCAAATCGTTCGCGAATAAAAACTTGAAAATTTCAAATACCAATATCTTTTCTATTAGACCTCGGAACCGAGTGTTTCAAGTTGAAAATGTTCCGTTGTGCGGTCCGCAATTTATCCCGGCATTATTTTGTGCCTAAAAGCTAGTGAAAAGAGTAACAATCGCAAAAACTGTATTTGACTGTGTGTGTGTCGGCAAAAAAGATGGCCGACGGGTCCTCTTAACCGCGTTTCGCTGCGAGCGCAGACGCGACGCGGCGTGACGTAAACGCGCCTATCGGCGCGCGGCGTGACATTCACGCGTTTAACCCCTAAAAGTCACACTGGATCAAAATGACCCAGGCTTTTTATACAAAATGTCATTTTCTTCAAATTAAAAAATTTTTTTCAACTTAATGTTACTTAAAATATTAATTTTTGATAATGAAAAATATATCCTTCAATGTTCGAAGTTTATTCCATAATTTTTCAAGTTAATATAATTAATAGCTTTTAAACAGCACCTGATTGAAAATTGGCTTGGGTCAAATTGACTCAGTGTGACTGATTTGTTCGAAAAAAAGGTGTGACTTCTAAGGGTTAAAATGATTTCATTTATTTTATTGTACAGTTTAATACTATAAGTGTAGACACAAAAGCCAAAATATGTGTGATATTAAAACGAACAGATTAAAAATATGTTCTGACGAATTGAAGAGAGAAGCAAATAAATATTCATGAAAAGATTTATTATGTTATATAATCTCAGTTAACACTGAGCATCAGTTTTATTACATTAATGTTATAATTTCGCACTCAACAATATTAATGCAATATAACATATGTAGTGTCATATTGCATTTATATTTTTTAGTACGTTATTATGACATTAATATAATATATCTGATGCTAAGTGTTTACTGGGTTAGTACAGTGTATTTTCATTGCATCCATTTTAATTAATTACAATGAATCTTGCTGAAAAACCTTTTCCTAAAATTGAATATAATTAAATTTAATCAAAAATAGACTCTGATTTAAAATGATTTTCTATTGAATTTCAATGAATTTCACTAAGTTTTACTACATTTCGCTGAATTTTCAATGAAATTTTATTGAAATATTGCTGAAATGATAATGAAATTGGGTCAATTGTAAGAGATTTTCAACCAAATTTCAGCAAATTTCATTACGTTTTCAGCAAAATCATGAAGAATAGAGATAAGGAGGCTCAACTAATGCTTTCGAGAATGAGACCAAAACTCGATTTCTGTGGTAGTTCAAAATATGTACACCGGCGGCGCTACGGTAGATAAACTATTAATAAACAGAAGTCGGGAGGGGATAAATCATGAAGAATATCTCTATTCTTCATGGTACACTAATATATACACTCACACCGGGTCTACTAATATACACTCATACTGTGTACGTGAAAACGCTGTCGTGGAACGGAAGCGACATCTCGATTAGGATTTAATACTAGCAGCAATGACAATTTTTGGGCTCAGAAGCAGAAGCATCCGCCCCCAGAGGCACATATTCCCAGCAGTTCAGCGACGATATCAGCCCACGTTGGTCCACTATAGGTCCATCTATTTGGTCTATTGTTCTGGTCGATTCTAGCGGGTGGTGTTGCAGTAGTAGATCCTGAACATGTATTAGATTTTATTTGAGATTTTTACTGAAACTGCAGCGACTGAGTCAACGTGTGTAGAGAAATTTACCGGGCGTTATGTGAGGATGAACGGACTGCACGGAAGTCGGCTTCGGCACTATAAAGTTTCAATATTTATTATATTTTATATAACATTTTATATTTAAAATCTTGACTCTACATTAGTAATTATCAGACGGTAACCTGTACTTGTTGATTGAGGCAGGGGTTGAGGCGTATTTCTAGAGCCTGTAAAAATGAGTCAAACTGATTCTTGTTGACACCAAAAATTCAACTTTCTTTGAAATCCCTTAAATTAAATCATATAAAACCTGCTACTGATGGCTGCGTCGGTTGAATCGGTATATTTCCCGATACCAATGTTGGCCTCGAATCTAAAATATTACATAATTTGTAAGTATTCAAATTATTAGCATAATTATAATATCTCAGGTAAAATATTAACTTGGTGTGAGCAATACATGGAAATGTGAATTTAAGACTCGAATATTTGTCCAATTTTTTTTTTAAATTATGGCTCGCAAGGAAATGCTATTCGTACAAAATAACAACCTGTAGATGAATTGGGCCGCGTCTGATCACCGTTAATCGCCAATCCTTGACCAGGTGTTCTCGATGGTTGATTTCGTGCTGGCTCCCCAGCTCCCGCGAAATCCACAGCCCAATCCCGATAAGTCTGGCCATTTCCACCGCCGATTCCCGGGCTGTTTGGCCTCGGCGCAACAATATCCAGACCGACTTCGGTCCCTGGATTAGGTCGATTGGGTCGCGCGTTATTTCGTACATTTTGTTGAGCTCCGTTCTGGCCAATTGTCGGTCCCGAATTAGCGGGGTTTATAGCTGGCACTGTCGGTCCTCCAATGATTGTAGCCCTCGGAGTAACGGATTGTACGGACGGTATAGTGGTAGTCGTAGTCGTCGTCGTAGTAGTGGTCTCTTCCTTTTTCCAAAATTTCCATCCTGCTTCACTATTTCCTGAAGGATAGAATTAATGAATTATCGAATCTTAGATTACTCCATGCAAATAAAACTATTTAGTGCACACATGCAATATTATTGTACACCCAGTAAAAATTTATTATATAAAAATATATATTATACAGGTATATTTGTAGGTGAAAAAATGTTTATCGAGCATTAACTTCTCGCGAATGCTTTTGAGAATAAAAACGAAAATTGACGTTGAGAATATGTAACATTGAAATTGACGTTAAAAATATAAAACAGAAATGAGAAGAAGATTATACGTGGACAAATTTATTTTGTATCTATGCTGCTCGATATCTGCACATTTAAAATTGGGTCGGTATAATTTTTAATGTTATTTATCACGGGGTCACAATGGTCATTCGAGATATCGGTATAATCTGGTCAACGTTACAGTAGTATGTTGTACGTGCCTTTTTAACGATTACTTTCCTCTTTATGCGCTTTATTAATCTTTACACATATACATTTCTCGAAATAATTATATTTCCTATCATCGTATATTCTATTATTAAAAGTTATCTCGATGCAACATTGTATTCATTTTCTCTAAACATAAAAACTTTCGAAATAATCGCAGTTTTGTCCTGTTACAAATATGTATGTAAATTTGAAATAATCTTTTTTAAAATCACTAATAATAAGAAGTGATTTTATCGAATTTGTACACGTAAAATATTCTCTTCCCCGCGTATAAAATGATTCATGACACACGCTTCACTCTTTCCTGATTTGTTTCCTGAAATAGTTATGAAATGCGCGATGAAGTAAAAGGAGCAGCGCTTACCGACGTATAGCAAGAGCGTGATTGCCAAAACGAGGAAAAAATGTTTCACTATCATGTTCGTCATAAGATGCTGAATCCGTGCTTATATGCTTTTAAGAAAAGACGTGACCTTCGTGACTTGAAACTAAATTCTATTGTAGGCAGTTACACACAAACATATGGGGTGTACTGTGAGGGTACTGTGAGGGGTGAGCCGGTCCAACCGTGAGGTTAACGGATACGGCGGGGGGAAAGGGAATGTCAGGATGGATGGCAGCGGAGGAGGACGAAATCTCTGGCTGGTAACAGTGAGACACAGTCTGGGTGCGTTCTTTTAGGCATCGGATACAGCAGTTTTTGCAGTGATTCATTCTTTTAGCACGACTGCGCAGCAGTGATCAGAGATTGCGGGATTTCTGGCGCG